GTGTATTCTACCTACAGCACCCTACAAATTTAGGTCATTCATTTTGAAAGTGCTCTGTGTTCTACAAGGTGGCATGCCATGTCCGTACGGTATTGTATCTGAGCTGGCACTTCTATTAGGCCACTGACCTCTTGGTATTGAAGCATATGATACGAACAGTGAATCTCATGGGTGTATACTTGTTCCTGCACCTGTTTTAATATTGAGTCCATTTGTCTGATGGTCAAGGACAGAGGCCAGCTGATATTAATTGGATAGTATATTTTTAGTGCCTTCTGCATGATGGATATTTTCTGATTAACACACAACGCAAAGACCTTTACAATGCAAAGATCTGCCCACTTCCCTATGGCCATCCACAATGCTTTATCCTACAGTTTGCTGTCCTCCAACCTTCCCTAAGCATTCTCTTTCCAGGACCCTGGGCTAGATATATCAGACAGTCCACGAGTCTCTGTGAAGTCTGTTTCAGCCACTTGCTTTACCACACTAATTGGCTGACCAGGTGTGAGGCCTGAAATTCTTCCCACTGAAAGGATGTCTACTTACCTCTATCTTTCAAGATTTCCTGAGTAGGGAAACTGTGTGGCCATTATCCATTTCTAGCTTGTCCCAGGGTACATAGTTGAGCCATTTGTGAATCAAACTCAGGCTGTTGCATCCTACATGGACTGATCATGTAGGACCCCTTTCCCAAGCAGTCATAAATGTGCACTGGCAGTGATGTGATAGCAAGTGCTTAACAACCAGCTTTCTGAAAAACAAAGGAACATACTGTTTTTCAGTATTAGCTAATTTTTGGCTGAGGGATTTAGCTCAGTAGTTCTGTTGCCTGGCTTGCAAGCAGAAGGTCCCCAGTTCGATCCCCAGTACCAAAAAACAAAAACAAAAACAACAACAAAAAAACCGCTGTAGTACTAGCTAATTTTTATTGTGTATTTATACTAGGTCAATTTCAAGCTACCAAGATGGCATCAATAGGCTAATAAGATTTCTGAAATTTTAACAATAAGCTCCCATGAGCTGATTGGTACAAACTGGCTCCCACACACCCCTGGAGGTAACAGAGAAATGCTGTGTAACTGTGGTGCACACTACTTGCTTGTGCAACTTGCTTGTACCTTCTTGTTTTATTGATGTTCAGTCCTCAATTTAACTCTTCCATCTAGACTCATCCTAAGTTGTGGCTTGGTAGATGTGATAGAGCCTAGCTTGTCAGGGGTAGTTCTGGTATCACAGTCATTTGGTGTTCCATGGTTAGATACTTTTATCTATGAGGGCCTAGTAATATTCCAAGAACTGTTTTTTTTAAAGATGCCTAAGTCTCTTCTTCAATTGGCATGGCTTTGATCCAGGGCCTACATTACAATTCTCTGATTGGGGCATGCCATAAAACCTACATGTCATCTTTTCGTACTACTGATTGTCCCTAATACTGTAGGATCTCATGGATCAAGTGGTCCAAGAAGCCAGATGCTTGCCCTGAAGGCTGAACTTGACTTAAGAGTCCTTTTCTTCTAAGGAAATTGAATTATTCTCTGTCACACAGTATATGAGCTGGAGAAGTACTTCTAGGAACACATTACCTCTAGATCCTGAAGAAGCTACCTAGTAGTTACTATGCACTCATTCTTGTGATAGCAGCTACAAGATGCAATAATGTCTCCATTACTTGGTAGAGGATATTTTAGCATGCTAAAGAAACACTGAATTCTAAAATATGACTTGTGTGGTGGGCTCCTGAATCTTCTCAGATATATTTCCCTCAAAAGTGAAAGTGACTTACCAAGACTTCCAACCTGCCAGCCACTTCTTGTGCATTTGGTTCCACTAACATGGTGTTAACAGTTAACTGGACCAGTGTGATACTCTGCAGGCTGACCAGCTGATCTATGTCCTTTCTGACTACATTAGGTCAGAACACAGCATAGTTAACTTGGTTCTTAGGAAAGGCTAAAAACGAATACTGTTGCATACAAAGGAATGTGGTGAACTTTTTTTTTTTTATTCTTTTCTGAATGACACAGGGAAAAAAGTGGATTTACCAGGTCATTAGCCACTTGCACCCAAATCCCTGCTAATGCACTCTGGCAAAGCTCACACAGCAGGCACAGAAACTACAAATGGGAAATGGGAATAGTATTTGGTTAGAGTTGTGATAGTCCATCCCAGCTCTCCAGGCTGTGTTTGGATTTTTCAGAGGCCAAACCAATAAATTAAATGGAGGAATGATGAAAATGCCATCCATTCACCTGCTAAATCTTTACAGGAGGCCAACTTTTTAACTGTGTTTCTCTCATTTTTCTTATTGTGCTAAAATATACAAAAAAGAAAAATTACTATTTTAAGTGTACAGTCTAGTATATCAGTATCATTCATTCACACTGTATGCAACCGTTTGATCCATCTCCAGACCTTTTTGATCCCAAACTGAAACTCTGCACCCATGAAACAAGGATGCCCTATTCTCTTCCTACCCACCACCACCATCCCACTTTTGGCTCTGAATTTCAGTGCTGTAGGATGATTATAAAAACAAACTCATAATATTTGGACTTTTGTGTCTGGTTTGTTTCATTCAGCACATTTTCAAGGCTCATCCATGTTGTAGCATGTGTCAGAATCTCCTTTGTTTTTGTTTTTTATTTAAAAACTTCTTTTAGGTACCAGAGGTTGAACTCAGCCAGGACCTTGTGCTTGTGAGGCAGGTGCAGTGCCACTGAGCTATGTCTCTGGCCCTAGAATCTCCTTTGTTTTGAAGGCTAAACAACATTCCATTTGTATGTATATATTACATTTTATTTATCCATTCATCAGCCATTCATCTGAATTTTTCCACCTTTTGGCTACTGTAAATAAGGCTGCTATGAATATGTATGTATAAATACTTATTTGAGTTCCTGCTTGCAATTATTTGGGGTGTATGCTCGGAAGTGGTAGTGCTGGGTCATTTCTTTATTCTATTTTCACTTCCTGACATACTTCTATTTTTTTTTTCCACAGAGGCTAAACCATTTTACATTCCTGCCTACAATGAGAAATGTTTCCAGTTTCTCTGCTTTTTTGTCAACACGTGTTATTTTCTTTTTTAAAAATTAACCATCTTAATGGGTGTGGGGTGATATCTCATTGTGGTTTTGATTATATTTCTCCAATATTAAGAATGCTGACTATCTTTTCATGGGTTTATTGGCCATTTGTATATTTTCTTTAGAGAAATGTCTATACAAATCCTTTATGCTGTTTTGTTTTTCTTTCTTTTTTTTTTGACAGAATAACTTTTAATGGAACATTCTAGGTATACAGTATGCTGACATTCATTACCGGGAATTTGTACCTTTACATGAAATATCTGGTTCTTATTTTTTCCCCAGTCCCTTGCCCTCCCTTCAACTCCTGCAACCCTCCCTATTTACAAAGACTTTGTTTCCATTTTTTCCTTTTCTCATATTTGGTCCCCACCCCCTTCTCTTTGGACATTTTCTTCCTATTTCACATTATCTATTATACATTTTGATCCCTATTTATACTTTCATTTCTCATACCAGAGAAACTATTCAGTATTCACACAAGTCTGTCCCATTTATTTCACTTAAGATTATAGCCTCTGGCTGGGGATTTGGCTCAGTGATTCTGCCACCTGCCTTGCAAGCGCAAGGTCCCAATTCAATTCCTGGTACCGAAAAAAGAGTATGGCCTCAATGTGCCTTTATGCAGTTCCGAATCAGACTGTCATTTTGTTGTTAAGATTTAGGAGTCCTCTAAATATTCTGGGTATCCTTTGCCTATTGCATATATGATGTGAAAATCTTTCTTCTCATTCTGTGATGTTCACTTTTTTTACTGTTTATAGTGGTTTTGTTGACTAAAATTCCTCAATTTTCATAAAGTCCGATTTGGGAAGTTTGCAAGCGTATTTCTTAAAATATTTTCTCTTCCTCTCCTGGAAATTCCACAATGCATGTGCTGATCTCCTTGATTGTTAGCTTTCCATCACTATCACAAACATGTAAACTCTTAACTTGGAAAAGTTTTATTTTGGCTCACAGATTTGGAGTTTCCAGTCTATGGTCAATCAACCCTGTCACTTTGGGCCTATGGTAGCACATCATGGTGGGAACACATATTAAAGCAAACTGTTCACTTCATGTCCTGCAAGCGAAAGAGAGGGAGGGGAGAAGAGACCAGGTCCCACAAGCCCCTTCAAGATTACATACTTAAGGACCAAAAAACCTCCCACTAAGTCACACCTCTTAACCTTCCCACCCCCTCTCAACAGAGCCAAGCTGGAGGTCAAGCCTTTAACACACAGGCTCTCTGCAGACTTCCCAGATCTAAACTATGGTAGTGTCCCACAGGTTTCTTAGGCTCTGTTCACTCTTTTCCCATCTCTTTTCTTTTTGGTTATCAGATGACAATTTCCATTGTCCTATTTTCGAGTTTGCCAATTCATTTTTTTCTGCTTCCTCAAATCTTCCCGTGAATCCCTTGATTAGAGGGGGAGCCACCCTTGGATTTCTAAGTAACATCGATGCTTCTGTTACAGAGTATTCCTTATTGGCTTGGTGAGTATTATAGTCTCTAAACTTTCCTGTGGAATATATTCATCCATTGGTGTTTTCAGCTTTATTTCACTCTAGCTTGCTCCCTTTTCTTTTCTGAGCTGTTATATTCCCTCTTACACTGACAACTACACTCATTCTGGCTTTTCTACTTAATGATATACTGGGGAGTATTGATCTTCCCATGTTTTTAGAAGAATTCCTAAGTGTGTTCACATTATTACCTGAAGTTCTTAAATGAATAGTAAATCTTGCATCCTGAAAATTCTCCCAAATTAATATATTCTCCAACTTATGTTCTATTTTCCCTATCTCTAACTTTCAGGATTCAGACCCGTGCAAGAACTTCTGGCTTATGTTGGTACCTGTTGGCCAGGTCCTATAACTTCTTTGGAGTAGGGTTGCATTTTAATACTATCAGTCCTATGAGATCCCTGGGCCATCACATATAGTTACTTCACTCTAATTGTTGCCTACTGACCAGTAGAAAGGGTTGTATTCTGACGGTGGTGGTAGTGGTGAATATTATTCTGCAGAGAGAAGACCTTCACATCATCCTGCAAAGATGGACCATAAGATTTTGTAAGGAGAGGCGGGACAATTTTGATTTTCCTAGCAGGTTGAGGATATTCTAGAATTTTCGGGTACATCAACTCAAACGTCCCCCCTGTTGTGTCGCTTCTCACCCAATCAGGGGCCTGACCTTGATGTAGTATTACTGAACCAACCAGTGTGGGTTAAAAGATATCTGGATAAATTTAATAGTTTTAATTTGCATGAATTCTCACTTATCTGTTAGCCAGTTTGAATTAAGTTCTTTGAGAGATTTTTGTCGCATAGCCATAACATGTGTACAAAGGTAACACATAAACACATACATACACAATGATCCTATAGCATTTACTTTAGAATTTTAGTCACGAGACAAAGTAATATGTAATACAAATTCACAGTTTATATAAGATGATTGAATCTAAATTACATTTATGACAAAGTGGAAAAAAGTTAAGATCACTTATTTATGTAAACTTTAAGATTTTTATTAGTATTCTCATAAAGGCTATAGACTAAATTTTTCCAGTAAAGCAGTTCTGATTGCACCTTGGTTTTTATTTTTTGGTACTGGAGATTGAACTCAGGTCCTTGCATTTAGCAAGGCAGGTGCCAGAACCACTGAGCTAAATACCCAACCCAGAACCTTGGTTTTTAAACAACCTCTTTTACTTTATTTTTTTCCTTTCCTTAGTCTCAAATGAGATTTAAGAGTTAATGGTTAGGTGTTTGTTCTGGCTAGAATTGGCTTAAACAATAAACTTCCAAGTGAGCTTGAATGACAAATTTATCTTAATACAGTATAAGCAAATAAAGCCAGGGAAAGAAAAATAGAGAACTGAAAGCTTTTACATGTTAACCCTATAACTGCAGTCCAAGAATTATCTTAATGCTCTGCATTAGAAATCTTTCAAGCTGGGCGTGGCACAGGAGAGGCTTGCTGAGAGTTAGAGACCAGCTTGGGCTACATAGTGAGTTGCAGAGCAGTCTGAACTATGTAGTGAGAGCCTGCCTCAGAAAAAAAAAAAGAAAGAAACATAATAAAGTAAAGTAAACATGCAGGGGCTGGGGATTTAGCTTAGTGGTACTGCCACTTGCCTTGCAAGTGCAAGGTCCCAAGTTCCATCCCTGGTACCCCCAAAAAACAAAAAAAACAAAAACAAAAACAAAAACAAACAAAAAAACAAAACAAAACCTAAAGGAAACATGCAGAATCAAAAGTTAAATCACCAGAAAAAGACCACGAGATGTTACTATAACTCAATTATATTAATACGTACAGAAAAAATCCCTGTCGAGGAATAGCCTCGTGCCAACGCTATTCCTAGGGATGCTGGGGGCAATTTACCTTGATGGTTTTGAATTAAATTCTGCCCAATGCTATCTCTGGAACCCGTTTTCTAGATTCCAAACGGCACTAGGATTATCACAAAAGAAATCTTTTCATAGATTGTTGAAAGTCACTTAATTTTGGAAAATGTAACCCAATGGGCTGCATGTGGGGAACAAATTGACATTTCCTATTCTTCAGAACTTAGAATCAGCCAGTCAGAAATTTATAATTATGTTATTTATGTGATAGCTAGAATCAGTTTTCAGACCAAAGGGGACCAGACTAATGCTCCCTTTTGGAAGTCAAAGGAGAACTTCTGTGACTACAGATTCCCTAATCCTTCTTCACAATGAAGGCCAAACCAGAGTTTCCTTTCAGAAGTCAAATACTGGGGCTCCTTGAGACCAGGATCCTCAAAATGAAGACCAAATTAAAGGGAAGGAAAAGTAGAAACTCTTCCACTTGTACTAAAGTTACTCACCAGATAACATGCCACTCAGATCCAGAAACCATTTCTTTGTTGAAAAAGTACACGGAAGATTGGTGGTTTCAAAGTCGGGAAAAACCCAGGGACAGGAGCTGGGACAAGTGATCCAGGGACCTGCTCGGACTTCAGGATCTCGATGCTAACAAAGGGCTGTCAAGCCATGGAAAAGTTGTTTGGATTTGCCTGGCTGGTTCATCAAACGGTTACCAAACTAGGCTCACAGTTTGCCAATCACTGAAATGACAAGTGTTGAAAAGGAGAGTTTATTCACAAAGTGGTCATGCACGAGAAGATGGGAGACCCATGACTCAAATCAACCTTAGTAAGGATAGGGTTTGGGGTATTTATCTGATCAGAAAGCAAAGTAATATAAAGTGTGAAGAAAGGTGATTGGAAGCGATCAGTGGTCTGCACATGTGTAATCAATCGTCATGGCTCTTCATAGGATGTACATTCAGAAAATAGCAGCATTAACATATTTTGATCAAAACATGTAAAACTAGGGGAGATGGTGGGACAAGGGGGTCCTGGGGGAAATGATTAAAATATGTTAAGGCACATACAAATACATCAAAATGGAACCCATTAATCTGTAAAACCAATATGCACTAATTTTAAAAAGAGAAAAAATAAGAAAAACAAGATGGCAGCATTAGCATGGTCTAAGGGTAATGTTTGGCCTCCTAAAGTCAAGGAGGTCAGTAGTTTCTTTGTTGTTGCTGTTGTTGCTCTTCTTTATAATTTTTGTATTGATACGTGTTTACCATACATAATGATCACATTCATCATAGGGAATTTGTACTTCTACCTAATTGTGTTAGTTACTTTTAATGAAATACCAAACATCTAAAGTTAGAGAGGAAGGGTTTATCTGCATTATAGTTTGTAGCGATTTCAGTCCATCATCTGCTGGCTCTGAAGCAGGGTGGATGGCAGACAGGTGTCACAGAGGAGAAACAACATGGCACCTACATGGTAGCAAAGGCAACAAGAGGGTTTAAGAGCATCTTTCTGCCCCTTTTATCTTATTCAGACTACTGAGATTAGGGCAGTGCAAAACTAATTCCTCACTTACTGGCAGCTAACAAGAAGTCAACAACAAAATCCAATCATAATATACTTTCTTGAACCGTTCCTAGCATCAAATCTAACCTTTAAAGAAGGGAGAGAGGTTTGAAATTGAGTTCTCTCTTAGCACCAATGATTCAGTCAGTCGCACCTATATAGTGAAACTCCAATAGAAATGTGGACACTGGAGGAGGACGTTCGTGTGCAAGCGGTCCTGTGTCCTAATTACAGAAGGTCATATTTAATTATTCACAATAACACTTCAGTCATAGCTGAGCGGTGTCTGTGGGCAGCACCGGCAGCAGAGGGATGTCTCATTCTGGAAGTCAGATTTTGGTGGCAAGCCATAGCTCCTACTACACTTCATAACTATTTCTATCTCTTACATAGTAGAGAGGATCAGGGAATTAAAAATAGTACTGAGAATTACTTTAAATTTATAAGTGTTTTATAGCTAAAGATAATTCAAAGAGCCAGATTGGTGGGTTGATCCTGGCAATCCCTCAGGAGTGATCATGTTGTTTTCCCACTTAGAACTTTCTGTTGTCTTCCTATTGTCTTATGAAGGATAAATTCTTAAGTCCTCTGCAGGACTCCTCAGGCTCAACAAGATACTCCCCTTTCCTGCTCCTGAAAGACCTCATCTCCCTCCTTTCCTTGCACCCATGAGTTGCACATAGCTTTTCTAAGTTTCAGGGCTTCTGTTGAAATGCTTTTTTCTCTTTGTGGGCCAATTTCTTATTTCTTTTTTTTTTGCGGGGGGGGTCTTTGTCTAAGTGTCTCTTTTCTCAGAGGCCTTCCTTCACACTTAGTCTAGATCAAGGCCGCTTGTTACATGTGTCATAGCTCCAGTCATCTGTAGGTGACCTTTTTGAGCACTTACCTATCAACACAGTTATTCATGCATTTATCTGTTGAATGTTTGTCCCTCCCTCCAATGAGTCTCATAAAGGCAAGAACTATGCATTTATGGTTCTTTCCTCCTTCCCTAGCACTTAACTCTGTGCCTGACACTGGAGCCTAAACATTTGTTGTGTGAATAAATGAATGAAGGAATTAAGGAATGGGTAACAATGATAGGGTAATGGTTAACAAGGTGGATCTGAAGTCAGACTGGCTCCAATTCCTCCAGATTCTGACTTAACCATCTAGAGCTCTGTAAATTAGTTCTCCTCTTGGACAACATAGATCAGTTCACATTGAGGCTGTCAGAGTGGGAGCATTCATTCTCAATAAACTTGTTATGATGGTTTATGCCCCACCACCACCCCAGGCTTCAAGTGTTTGGAAGATGACTAGATGGTAGGGCATTATAGCTTACCTGGCAGTTAGTCGATGGGGTCTGGTCAGAAGAGGCAGGTTGCTGAGGGCATTATCTGGAGGTGTGTGTCTTCCTTCCCAGCTCCCCTCTTGGTTCTCTGCTCCCTAGCCACCAAGGATGAACAGTTTTCCTTCACCATGACCCTCTGCCCTGCTGTGTTTCCTCTGGAGCCAGCCAACCCGGGACTGAAACACGAAATTTCTCCTTTAATTTGTGGGTGCCAGGTCTTGGGTCTCAGCAATGAGAAAGTGACCAAGATACACCTCTCAGGAGAATAAAATGGAATGAGATCGACATCTAGCAGCTCAGCATAGGCTGAATCCCACAACTGTCTTCTTGGCCACACTTCTTTATGCATCTATTTCTCCACTTATAAACAATCTAACACATAGCACCTAACTCGATGTTGCTACAAGAATACACTAAAATATTCAAGGAAAAGGTTTCATTAATTTAGGTTGAGAGACACCTCTGGCTTGAGCCCTGGGGTTGGTTAACAGCATAAGACATTTTCTACAGGTAATTTAAGTTCAGGCCATAGACCACATCAGTGATCAGAACATTGTCTAACAGGCAGAGTCAGAGTAAAGGAAACAGAATCTTCTCTGGAAACACTTCCACAAAGTGTGTGCAGACTCAGTGGGTGGTTCTTTACTGTAGGGATAATTATGTCTAAAAATCTAGAACAGATCATTTAGACCTAGAATTCTACCCCTCCCCCCAGGAAGTGTAAACATCCAGACAGATTCTGGAAACTATTTCCCTTTATTTTAGACTCCAGAAAGGGCATCATCATTTGGTGAATATGACCTTTCTTTAGTCACTCAGGTTGCACACAACTGTTAGGTTGGCTTTCTTAGATATATCCTAGGCCCAAGGGGAAAGTCTCAATACCTTGATTTCAGTTTCTCCTTTACCAAGTTCCCTACACATTTATGATAGCCTGATTCTCTTAGATTGGAACATTTCTGGAGGTTGAATTCTAATTATTTCTCTAAATTTTTAGAGCACTTTATAATAATCTTGAAACTGGGAAACTTGGAGCCTGGGACTGGAATTGTTGGGAGTCAGATCTGGATTTTGATTCTATGGTCAACACTAGCTGGCTGTGTGAACATGGGCATGACTTAACAATCAAGTTCCTTCATTTGTAAAATGAGGCAGAAAGAGAAAATTAGGACAGGTTCATAATTTAGTGATTTATATCATGATCTCTGACAAAAGCCAATATATTGTAATGTACACTTCTGGTGGAATGTTGTACTGAATATTTTATAAGTAAAAACAAATTCACTCTTCTTTGTGTTGACTTAGAAAGTGGGTTTGGTACAAAAATAAAAGTCTTTGCTGGGGTTTTAGCTTAATGGCACCACACCTGTCTTGCAAGCAGAAGGTCCAGGGTTTGATCCCCGGTGCTGAAAAACAAAACAAAAAAAAACCTCAAAACAAAAATAAAAGTCCTGCCTGTTGTGAAGTTTCAGTTGCATTTAATCTTCCTTAATGGAGTTCCGAGAATTTGCGAAGAACTACTAGAGTATAGAGTATGGTCTTCAGGGCAGCCAGAGAGACACAGCATGAGAAACAAAGATTGTGGGCCAGGCATGTAGAGCAGAGCTAGTTTGGGGAAGGTCCTGGGTTCAGTCCGCAACCCCACAAAAACAAACAACAAAACAAAACTCCTCCTGCTTGACTTAATGCATAGATTATTTTCTTGTGCATTTCTTCTAAGAATGAATGCAGTTGAGCAAGCAGAGTTTCTAGGAGAAACTCAAAGTCCTACTGATATAGGAGAAATATAAGTTTTAACCTGCCAACTTGTTAGGTAGCAAAAGCGCAAAAGTGCCGAGTTCATGTTCTCTGAAATAGAAGAGTGAATGCCAAGGGACAACAGAGGTTAAGAGTAGGAAAAGTTTATTGAAAGATAGCTCCTGAGACAGTGGCTATCAAGGCCCTTTGTCAAGGGTGATTTTTACAGCAAAGTCACACGTGGGTACAACGTGGGTCAAACTAAAAAGCAACCTATAGATTACAAGTATAGCTGTCTAGCTAATATTGACCCAATAGGAAAGTGGGTCACAGAGCAAGGATGCATAGAAAGAACAAAGGCATTTTGGGGAAGGGATGGGTCCGCATGCTCTGGTGGTCTGATGCCTATCTGGACTTACTGAACCAGGTCGGGCTAATTACAAAATAATTCCAAGTTGCTGATTATGTCTTAGTAGGCCTGGCCATTGCATCTCTTATCTTATCCTGGCTTTCTTCAGATGTGCCTCCAGCCACAATTCTGACATCTTTATTTTTCACTCAATTCCTTGAGAGCCCAGTCCCTTTCTCACTGTATATTAATTTCTATCTTAGTCATCTTGCCCCACCAACTTGATATCACTTTAGATGTAGCCCTAATTAATGACTATGCGATTAGACATTCCTCATCCTTCGCATCCACATCTATAAAATACCTTGTGGGGGAAACATAGGAAGGGCTAATCCTGAAAGTTGTAAGGCACAAAGGAAAAAAAAAGAGTGAAGAGTGTCTTGACTGCCCATTGTCCATACTGTGGTCAGTCAGAACATACCTTGAGTACATATTTGTGCTGGGTAAAAACAAGGGTGGCGCGGATCGTGACGCGTCTTAACACTTACTACTTCAGTTTTCTCACTGCAATTGAGCGTTTCCTAAAACGACTGCAAATTCTAGGTCTGGAGTTAGTTTTGTTCCAGGTTGAAAGCTCTTCATGGGTTTCACAACCTCTTCGACTTCCCTAAAGCCAGCGTAATACAGATGGATAGGATTTCCAAAATAAGACCAGACTTTTTCAAGTCCCCAAAGCTAAGGGGTAAAATGACACCGAAATGGAATTGTGCAGACCCTACCGCTC